ATGCGGGGCTCGATCCCAGGACCCTGGGATCATGACCTGAGCCGAAGGCAGATGCTTAACAACTGAGCCACCCAGGCGCCCCTTTTTTGTTCTTTTTAAGAAAGCATTTGACATGCTGGGATTTGTGTGAAGGAAAACGGGCTCCCACCAGTACCTCTACCTGCCTCCCTGCATCTGTGCCATATGCCTTCCCTCCTGTTCTTAGGGATGGTTTGTTTGTGTTGTTATCTACTAGAAACTAGGTCCCACCCCTTCTCACCTGCACGAGACCAGCACCCCAGCAGTCCGTCCCCCCCGTCCCGTCCGCCCCCCGCTCCTGTGTCAGTTTTCCCTCTGCTAGATCATCCCCGTCAGCATACAGACATGCTGGTATTTCTCTGAATTCATCCCATTACCCTGCTTCCCACTGCAGCATGCCTCAAAACAGTTTTTGATACTTGCTATCTCCACATCCTCTCAAACCCATTTCTGTCCTCTGCTTCTCCCGTTGCACAGTGCCAGTGACCTTGGCCCCAGGCCCCATCCTCCTCTTACTTGACCTGTCTGCAGCCTTTGACCGACCTGGCTGATTACTCCCTCCTTAAAATCTCCTCTTCCATTGGCTTCCATGGAACCCCCTGGTTTTCCTTCTCCTCATTGGCCCGTTCCTTCTCCATCTTTGCTGCTGGGGACTCCTCATCTCCCTGACCTCTAAATGTCAACAGACCCCAAGGCTCCGTTCCTCATACCTCTTCTCTTAGTACGCTCACTCCCTGGTGATCTCATCCACTCTATCAAATGCATTCTGTTCACTAAGGACTCTCAAACTTCTATGCTGTTCTCCTCTTCCTTGCTAATCCTCTTGGCCCAGGTCCTTCGCATTTGTTGTTCCAGTCAACTAGAATGCTCTTCCTCAGCCATTTGTAGAGCTTCTCTCTTCCTTCAGAGTTTTACTCAAATGTCATCACCTCTTTTTTTTCCATTGCTATATTATCAACACTAGAGCAGCGTCTGGTACATAGTAAGTGCCCAGGAGGTATTTGTTGAGGGGACCCGGGGTGTCGCAGTCGGTTAAGCTCTGACTCTTGGTTTTGGCTCAGGTCATGATCTCACAAGTGATCTCAGCGTTGTGAGATTGAGCCTCTCGTCAGGCTTCACACGGATTCTGCTTCGGACTCTCTCTCCTCCTCCCTTTGCCCCTCCACCTGCTCGCTTACCCCTCACTCACTCTCTCTCAAATAAATAAATCTTTTTTTAAAAAAAGGTATTTGGAGCGCCTGGGTGGCTCAGTCATTGGGCATCTGCCTTCGGCTCAGGTCATGATCCCAGGGTCCTGGGATCGAGCCCCGCATCGGGCTCCCTGCTCCGCGGAAGG